AGGTTCGAGGTATCGCTTCACAGAGCAACACAGTCAAAAACCGCTTTTCTCCTTATAGGGGGGATTTTAACTTTCCTGGTTGGAATTGGCAGATTCCTGCCTTGAAGCCCAAGTCCCCATACCCTGTTCTACACTCAGAATTCATGGAGATAATTAACAACCATGGTCTGGAACAGCTGGTTAAAGAACCCACGAGGGGGGAAAACACTCTTGACCTACTCCTCACCAATTGTCCACATCGTGTCCCAAAAGTTGAGGTCATCCCCGGGATTTCGGACCACAGCATTCCTTATTGTGAATTTCAGGTCAACACACTAAAAATGAAACAAATCATTCGAGAAATCCCAATTTATGCCAAGGCACACTGGGATGGCCTAAGGATTGCAACCACAGAGCTAAGCTCAAACATGAAGGTGATTCAAGGTACAGCGACAACAGACGAGCTGTGGGTGAAGTTCAAGACTACAATCACTGATGCAGTGAAGAAATTTATACCACACCAAATCACCAAACCTAGGATAAATCGCCATGGGTCACGGCTGAAATCCGTAGGCTCATCCACAGGAGAGACCGCCAATACAAACGCATGAAGAAAAATGGCTCGATGGAACTGAGACTCCGCCGAGCCATTCAACGCTTATTGCGTAGATCGTATTGGAACTACATGAACGGCATCTTCTCAGTGGAAGACACCCCGACCAAAGATTTCAAGAACAAGCGCTTCTGGAGCTATGTGAAACACCAAAAGTCCTCAAACGCTGGAGTTTCCCCCTTGAGGTGGGATGGCCAAATGACATCTGACCCAAAAGCACAGGCGGAGATACTCAATCAGCAGTTCCAGTCGGTCTTTGGTGACGGTAGAGAGTACTCTGAGACTGAGTTTCTTCTGAAGACCAAAATGATGAACAGAGCCTATCCTATCATGGGAGATATCCAGATATCAGAACAAGGTGTGTTTGCCCTCCTCAATACCATTAACCCTTACAAAGCATGTGGTCCTGACAACATTAAACCACGAGTGCTCAAAGAATTAGCCAAAGAAATCGCTCCTGCACTGACAATCCTCTTCCAATCGTCACTATGCACAGGAAATGTTCCAGCAGACTGGAGAACAGCGCATGTCACTCCAATTTACAAGAAAGGGGAGCATTCCGACCCTGCCAACTATCGTCCAATATCCCTCACTAGCGTCGTCTGCAACCTGTTGGAGCACATAATCGTAGGCTCTGTCATGAAGCATCTTGAAAGCCAAAATATACTCAATGACTGTCAACATGGCTTCCGAGTCAATAGGTCATGTGAGACCCAGCTTCTCGAATTTGTAGAAGACTTGATGACCAATCTGGAGAACCACAAGCAGACTGACGTGCTAGTAAT